CATTTGAATAAATAGAATTGTATTACTTTACCACTAAATAAAGTAAACTAAACTAACTAAATAAAGTGTTAGTCTTCCAATAAATGTAAGAAATATATACGCCAATATTTATGGTCGCTATTGTTATATACATACAGTAAATTATTTTTTTCAATTGTATTACCTACGACTCTCTTGGATTAATATATTTCATAAATGTTTGAGATGAAGCGATTTTGAACAATGTAAAGCGATAGGTACTTGAACGTAGCAGGTTCATATCAAGTGAAATGTTACCGGGTTAACTTATTTTAGAAGATGCTCGTGAATAGATATAACGTACGTACATTCGTGCGATATAGTCAATTTAATCACAGAGTCCCGAAGGGTTTCATAGTATATAAGGTCAAACGTTGGCATTTCATTCTAAGCAGGGAGAAACTTTGATGGTGCTCAACGATTGTTAAAAATGCCAGCTGGACCTTCTTAATTAACGTTTGCTAAGGATAAGATATAACACGTGATATCCTAAGTATTTAGTATGTTTAAACAATCAAGAAAATATATATAATTATTCTTTTACGTTAATTTTCCTTCTTTTACTTGGTGTTTGATGCTTGCTTTACTTGAAAAGCATTAGACTAGTATTGCTTGATATGAAAACATATTTTTTTGCATAAAACCATTTATTTTAACATTTTTCATCGCAATCTATATGTTTAAACTATAATTGCTTATTTATATGTTGTTAACGTGTGGTATATTTTAAAACATTTCAAACACAAAGAAATAGGTTTCTGTTACACGTTTCTCAACAGTACATAGTTGCTTTTTCCCTTCCTGGAAAAGTTTTCTTGCAAATAAAGTTACAAGACATACATATTTTCCTTTAATCCATTCTCTTCTGAGGTTGATATCTTTTCACGTTTGATATCCCTGACGTTTCGCCTTCGCGAAAGTTGACAACTGACTAAAAATAATCGTTCTTTGTAGTAACATTTTACTAATGTTTTATAAATATACATTTTTACAAAATGTTCATAGTTAGGTTTCCAACCAACTCTCGCATTATCGTTATCTCAATTTGGTTATTTACGACGACAAGTCAATTTCTTTTACTCGAAGAGTGAGACGGCATCACGTAATAAGAATTCCAAAGAAGTCTGTATAACAGTTGGCGCTCCTTCGAAAATCTAATGGCTCTCCAGACGGTCGAAGCGCAATTAAAAGTTGCGGTCGAAACTAACTAAACCAGCCGAAGTTTGATTTAAACGTTTCCTGGCTGCTGTTCCTCTTCCTGCTTCTACGTGACACCGTTTAATTGCATTTAAATGAATGTTGGAGAAGATCTGCGAATGTCTTCGTGTGTTTCCTCTTTAACGAAAACCCGATGCGAGGAGAATTGACGCGAACTAGGGATGTTCGTTAATCACGATCGACCAAAAGGATCTTAATTGACCAGAGGAACTTCGCGAAGCGATAATCGCCTCGTCCTTATTTCGTGGCGTTCGAATACATTAAACGTTTCTCGCTTCACTTTTATCCTCATTACTATCTGAATGAATCCATTGCGACGGCTTTTGGAAAGAAATTGCGTACTTTTCCTCGGGGTAGTCACATTTCGCTTGGAAATTTACATTCCTATACTTCCTTTCCCTTTAACCCTACTATGATCGTTTTAATTTTGATATTTCGATCTTGTTGTTAGTTCAACGGACAGACAACAATTCTTTCATACGATACGATCGCAAGTAAAGCAAGAGTAAAGTTTGAAACAAATCTGAAAACGGTAAAAGTTTCCAAGATATTTACTGTAAGCATAGTAAGCTGTTGTACACAACTAACCGCCACCTTAACCATACCACAGATGTGTGGCGAAAATGAAAATACCAAATCTCCGTGTAGATTACTTTCCTCGACCGATCTGTCCAAGCGAGAAATAACTGCAAATAACGTTCGGGGATTACTTAGTTACCGTGATACACTTGTGGCCCTGACTCTGTGTGTCGCGCGATGCAGTAACTGGGTTTTCCACTTCTCCTCTTGTCCGTGTGGGTACCTTTGTGACTGATATATCTATGGCTACGTGAACCAACGTATACACACTTGATGTCGTCGAGATGAGAAAAGAGAAAGGGAGAGAGAGAAGGAGAGAGAGAGAGAGAGATTTTGGTGAGTCTCTTCACAAAGTACGGATCTGTCCCACTCGACACCAACAAGGGGGAATTGAAAAGCTGCCTGGCAATCCGGATAGCTTATCCCGGTCGAACCCTAACCTTCCTGTATCTACCTCTTTTTTCATGTCTTCCTCTCTGTTACTCATTTCTCCACCCTTCATTTAACTCTTATGGATAATTATTGCTAATTGTTAATACTTCTTTTAGATGAGAGAAAGAGGGAACGACGAAGAGTTGAGATTATAGAGTTGTCTCATTAATATGGGATACAGCTTCGAGAGAAATGTTTTGGTATGATTATGATGTCGCTCGGGGCTTCTGGGTTAAATCCGTATACTAGAGGAATTGCATGAATATTATGCAGAATATATATAATTATACAATTTGCAATAAATTATAATTAGAATAAAAAGTAGCATGTACGCCTTTCGTGTATATGATATTTAGAATAAGATCTAAATGTAGAGTAATATTATCTAGAAGCCGACAGGCTCGATTACAGTAGATTGCTGGCTACAACTCGGTTTAATTCGATTAACTTGGTGCAAACTTGTTTGCTAGGTATCACGTAACTCCGAGTTATCTCGTTTTTCGTTTACAGAAGGGGACGGCGTTCACGGGTGGAGCTACTCTTTTTTTTTACTAACACAAATATACTCCGTTATTAAACGATCAGAATATATACCTTTATTCACTACTCAATGATTAAAGATCCTCGCTGACGCTCTAATGTATTACTTTCTGAAACAATGTTTTCTGAGAAAACATAGTACATACACTCTTTTTAAATACGTTGGTGGAGGTATTAATAGAATGATCGGATACTCGGATGATTTTCATTTAGAAGAGTACCCAGTATATTTTTGGTTTTGATATGGTAAATGGATATTACGTCTATGTTCACTAAGTAGTCGCAATCTTAATTTTAGTTTTATCAAGTTTAGTCTAGTTACATACTTTTGCGAGCCACCAGCGCTCGCAGGAAAAATCCACAATATTAATAACGAATTATAGAGGATAAACAGGAAATTTGTTTTCTAAAAGTGGGCTCGTGCTATTTTGCAATTCCTGCTTTCGATTACTTCCGTGATTTCCTTAATATGATAATTAATTTCCGATGTGCTCGACTCGCAAAACGACAGTAGTCAAGTTGCATGACACTCCATGCATAACGCCAACATAACATCGCGGTCGTTCATTTAATTATATCGCCGGCATAAGTGTATCTACACGCTGTGAGCATATTATGTCCAGTCGATCGCGCGAGCCCGTTAGTTCGTATGGTTACGGAGTATTTACTGACACAATAATTATCGCAATTGACGGGGGCAGCCGCACGAGCAGTCAGACCGCAGAGCAAATTCTAGGGACGTCGAGTAGTATTACGTGGCAGGAAACTCTCACCCTCTTTGCTCTGTTCTCTCTTTCTCTCTCTTTCTCTCTCAGATTTACTTGATTCGACGGCTTGTATCGACGGTAACGAGAGGGCACAGGACTCCTGTATACCGATCATTAATATTGGACCGAGTTCTGGCTATGTCAAAGGGGACGCTCCTTCGAATCCGATACTCAAGGTGTTGATGGTGTTTGAACTGAAGGAATGGTGAAGGGAGAACTTATGAATCGGGCAGCTTGTTACTCGTGGAAGATTGCTGAAATTTGTTTGATTCGACGGAAGCGTTCATTGAGGTTTGTAATATATTATGGAAAAAGTATCTCTGATTAATATAGAAGAAAGGTATGATAAGTATCTATACACTTCGTCGATTTTAATGAAATTTTAATAAATTTTTAAGATTAAACGAGGAAATTTTAATGTGACACAGTTGAAAATAAATCTGTTACGTCCAAAGATGTAAGTCATTGAAGAATATCCGATAGATGAAACCTGACTTCCGAGACAACGGTTTCTATTAAATAAAAATTCTAGAAACATAGTGATATTAGTAGCATTAACGATAAGGGTAGTTCGCTTTGTGTTCGCACGTAATTAAAGAAACATATGTAAGAAACAAGGTGGTAGATAAACTAATTTCACTCGCATTGCTTTTTAACCCTATATTTCGTGTGGATGGGCCACGTGCAGAAGTACCTACTCGAATTAGGGCGTGATTGTTGCGAATTACCGATCGCGAGTTTGTGTACACCATAAGGGTTAGTCGACATATTTTCAGGAAAGACTCGTAGAGTGCCAAGTGTTTGCGGACCTATCGGTGCTGATAATGGGTGACGATGGAACCTTTCGTAATTTCGTTATGCTCAAAGGGTATAACAATGGCCACGTGCCTGTCGTTCGAAAACATTGTACTGCTACGCTTTTGATTCTAATACTGGGTTAATGGAGTCTCCATTAATTAATACAATGCTTGAAACTGCGCCTATAAATGTCCTTAGTATATTGGTTTCTATTCTATTCTCTATTTTTGTTTAAGACCGATGATAGATAATGTATAATCGAGTCATTAATATAAATCGATGAGATTAGGTCTTCTTTAATTTGTCGATTTTGTTTCTTAGGAATGATACTGGAAAACTGATTCGTTCTCTGGTCTGTAAATAATCCTAGCACATAAATAATTTCGAAATAAATTGTAATCTAATTAATTTATGCGCAGAATAATCGTGTGATGAATAATAAAATTCAGCAATGTCGAATTGTTCAAATTCGAAATTTACTTTTTGCATCCATAAATAATTCTAATGCTTTCTTGTTGATTTTAAGTTCTCTAAAGAATTTGAAAACGGCAGAACGTATCATTTATTTCCATTGTAGACGAAGATTTTTTATTTGATCAATTGTCTTTGAAAATCTATATTAACTATCCATTATAAATAATCACTCACCGTTTCTCGAGGAGGACTCCAACACTGTGGCGAATTACGACCACTATGACTACTGGTAGCTGAATTTGAAACGGAATGAAGATTCTGTGCAGTAATGTTTAAAGGTGTCACTGGATCGTCTTCTGTTGTCTCTATATCCACTTCGTCGTCAGAATTATCTTCTTTTTGGGATACCGAGGTATCCGATGGTTGTTCTTGAGTCACCGATTCAACTATCGGTGGTCCACGAATCACAGGACGAAAGGCAGACTGATGCAATGATGGATTCACCGTTGGTATAAGCGGTTCGGTTGGATTGGAACCGCTTATTGGCGGTGGTAGAGGACCTTGAAGAAAGGAAAAATGTTATGTTACGCAATGTATTATGTTAGCTTTATGAAGAATATTAATTATTACGTTAATAGAAAATACAACGATTAGAAATATTTCTGACAAATCTATATGAATAAGTCTCTGAGAAAAAGATATATGTGGTTGGAAGGCTTTTGACTTGTCGTTGATAGAATAATTCTAGAATAATGTAAATTAATGTAGTAGAATAATGTAGAGAAAAAGATGAAGAAAAACATTTGACGATAAATCCATAAAGATGTATAAAAAATCAAAATGTAATATTATTAAAAAATAATGGCAAAAGTAAATATTTAAAAATAAAAACTTCGAAAATCAAATAACAATACAATTTTACTAACATGCCATCTGAATGCATAATTGAATTTTCCAATTCTTATATGAAAAGTTCTTCTACGTAAAAATTAAAAACTCAATAACTTTTCTCCCTTCCACGTTCTTCAAATGTGTATAAAGCGTCTCAAGGAAGCAGCGCTTCTTTTATATGACATTTCATAGAAATAGATACACACAAAATATACTAGGCAAATAGATAGGTACAGTTGCACATATATTGTGAGTAATCCTGGCAATGAATTCAAAACATTAACTAACGATATTTGTTCGCAGCAACGGTTAAGCTAATCCTCTAAATAGCTTGTGCATTTACGGCTAAAATTCGTTAGTATCACTGGTAACTTTTGCACGCCACTCGAATTAATGGTCGGTTCTCTTTGCACGAGAAATTTTGTCTGCTATTAGTTAAAACAATTTTAAGTGATTAATACTAACTCTGACAAGAAAATGGAAATAGCCATGTTAAATCGATCGCGCGAATACACATATGTATGACTGCATAGTGGAACGTGCATTAATAATTATTATCAAAGACCATTACCTTACACGCGTGGGAACATGATCGTTGCACCGATTAATAATTTTCGTAGCACTCTTCACATTCACATATTCCCTGTAATTATACTAATGAACTCTGCCTCCGCAATGTAATTTCTGCTCGCGACGCGTGTAATCTGCCATATTACGCATTACAATCTGCCTAAACTGCGTTATTAACTATAGAAACGCAAATTTCTAGAATTTAATAGAATAGAAGAATTTGGGCTAATTTAAATATAATAAAATATACACGTTCTAGTAAAATATGTCAAATTAAAATATTCCACAGAAATACACCAGTCAAATATATCAAGTGTAATGAAATATATCGTTAAAACGCGCAATTAAATGCACCGAAGATAATAGATCAAATGCATTATCAATGCCAAAAAGCAAATCTCCAAGATATCACGAACTCACCAGGAAAGAGCACTGGTCCTCTCTTAGCGAGCCACGGGAGAGCGTAGGGTGAAAATGGAAAACCGGGTGTTTTGGCGGCAGCAACAGCGGCAGCCTGTTGATGTTGATGCCACACATAGTCCATCACCAAGCTTCTAGACAACGGTAGAGGTAATTCTGGAAATGGAGGGACACGTGGATGCGTGGGCGACGGCACGAGGGTCGGAATTTGCGCCGTAGGCGATGATCTCGGCTGCTTTGCAGGACTTGGCGATTCCCTTGACGTTGGATTATTAAGCAATCGCTTTCTAGTGCCGCCGTTGAACATTGCTTTCACATCCTCCCACGCGTGCACCACCTCGTCCGGCGGATTTCCGGAAAGTTTCATGTGACGACGCCAGGAATTGAAATTCGCCGCGTCCGGTTGCACGTATTTGTCCGATGGGCCGATTCGGTGTGAATGGAAGATGAACTTGTTGGGGGAGAAGAAGAGGCCACAGTAGGCGCACTTGATGCATTTCGCACGCGAACTGTTATAGCGAGCTGGTAGAAACGCGCCTCGACAGCCCCAGGCGCATTCGTGGTGCACCGAGAAAGCGAAGTCTTCTGGTAATCTTGAAGAAAACAGAGTGTCTTTGAACTCGCGATGCGGCGATTCTAAATGTGAGAAATTTAGATTCTATGTGTTAGAAGAAAATTTATAGTTCGATATGTACCAAAATGATTAGGTTTAGGTAGGTTTAAAATTGTGCATATTTTCAATAGCCGTAAAAAAAGGAACTCTGAAATTCGTTGCTTTGTCGAATTTGATAGTTCTAGCGTTGAAAATCTTTATACGTTAAGTTAAGGAATTTATTATATTATATGTTTTTATGTCAAAGGAGGCACCTTTACATGTTAAAACACATTCTATGGAGTGAAACAATATGATTCCTAACAATTTTGTGAGATAGCTTGATAAAAGTAAACCAACCTAGGCGGCGCATTGTCGCCGAGGAACGATTTGCAGAGACGCTCGGCTTCCCTTCGCGTAATCATGCCGCATCTTCTGGAGGAAACGGGCATAGCGCCGGCTCGACGGAGGATTTCTAACTGGACGGGAGTGCATTGCACGCAGGTGATGCCCAAAGCTACCCTGCGATTGTGAATCTCGTTGTAACTGAACTGTTTCAGCAACGTGTTGCTTATCTGAGCCAAACATAGCCTTTCTTGACCCTCGATCACCAGGGACACGATGTGAATGCCATAGAGAGATACAGTGCCCACCTGCAACTCCTGATGGTTTAGGTTCACAACGTGGTTCTTCGATGTTAAGAACGATACTATACGAGATATGAACTACAAAGAAAGAAGTAAACAAGATGAAAATTATAAACCAAAGTAAATGTATCTTCAGATTTTATTTGAATCTTTATAATTCTATATACGATCCTTGTATAATAATAATTTACAATTAATTAGCCAACATTGAGCGAGACAAACACGACAATAAAGAAATATGCAATGTTATTTCGTTTGTAAAGTGTTTCATTTTCCCTATCCCAATAAATAATACCATATAATAATATGTAATAATAATTCCCTTGATTTCGCAGAAATTTCACTATATTTTAATTTCTACAATTTCACATATAATCGAAATCTCATATAATGACAACTTACAATTAATTGGCTAACGCTGAGACAAAGAAATAACGTTACTTTGTTTCGGAATATCGCGTTTTATCTGCCCTATCCAAATAAATAATATACAATAATAATTCCCTTGGCTTCGGAAAAATTGTTCAAAAATAATACTAAAACCTTCCCACCGCCAAAGAAATAATGCGTTTTATCTTCAAATAAACGCGGATAATTCGTGATCGCGGAATGTTCACCGGAAACAATTAAAAAGTAAAATCCCATAATATAAAAACACATGCGATACCTGATTGGATTTCGAATGCGACTGTGGCTGCGGCGATTGTGCTGATTTTTGGGGCGCGGTTATCGGCGGCATCGATAATACCGCCGGCCCATCCATTCTACTGCAACAAAAATAAAAACAGAAGAATATTCCTGAAATAACAATCGAGTTCAGTTTTTACAGGCACTCATCTCGCAAAGCCCACTTGATAAATTATTTTCTCTTTGTCTCTCATACATGTATATACGTACACGCTAATGAATGCTTTTCGAATTACACCGATCGGTTTAAATTCTGTAATATTTTTCAATATGAATGTAATAATACTATTATTCAATGGAAAAATGTAATATGAAACGGCGTATGTTATTATTGTTCTGTATTGTTGGCATTATTGTATGATATTATTGCGCTTTAGTTGTTTCCGTTTTGTGTTTCCATTGTAATTATATTTATTACGCTCTATTGATCATCTGACATCGAAACGATTGACCAATGAACATCATTAAATGCAATTTAGTTTGATGAAATTATTTTTGTCATGTTGTGACTATTTTGTGGCTGTCTAACCTGTTAATAACACTACATTGCGTCTTATAATAATAAGTTCATCTAACAATTTTTTATGTTGTGGTTATTATCACGAAAAATGAAATACGCTATGTTTGAAATCGTATTGATACACGATCGTAATTGAGTCTCGCAGAAGCCAAATCGATCAACTCTACTTTTATTAATTAAATACATAAAAAAGTACATCATCGCATTCTTTCAGTTATTTCCTACAACTTCCCCATTGCCAATACCTATACGTGACAAACTTTTCCGTCGCGATGTACGAAATTCAGAATTCTTCAAACACTGCTTTATCTCCAAGCAAAGGTGGCCTCGTCAAAAAGAAATCAGTGACAAAATATAAAAAGTACAGAAGAGGAAGAAGAAAATACGATGGGAGAACGGGTCGCATCGGGTTCCTTATCCTCTTACACTCTTTTCTCTCACTCAGAAGATGGAGATCTGAAATAAGTGCTCGAGTGCTACCAGCAGAGCCTCTTTCCATTAGTTTAACGCGCGGCGAAGATTTCATTGAGCCCGTGAATTTTTCATGAGAAGCCGTCCGCCTACCAAATAAACCGGTGAAAAAAGGATTCCAAAAATAAAAACAGAGACAGAGAGAGAGAGAGAAGCAACCAGGGAGACGCGATGTAGATATAACAAAGAAAAAAGAGAAATAGAGGGAACGATCTGATTTTGCGCAGTCAGGATAGAAAGAGAAGGAATGATCGATTCAACCAACAGACAGAAACGAGAGAGTAAACCAACGACAACCAGAATGCTATAGAAACTAGAGAGAGATGGAAGGAACCCTCGATGTTGATTTTAATTGAAAACGCCTCCATGAAGGTATAGTGTGTATACGGCTACACGTACAACGGTGCACGCAGATAAAACCCATTTACAAGCGGGCATAGCCCTGACGTAGAAGCACAGAGAGCGCCAGTGCTCCAGCAAACGTCCCCGGGGACCGTAGAACGAGGGGGTAATTCAATTTGACACCCCCACCCACGCTTAAACAAGCCAGCACCCATCCAGCCCTCAACTCTCTTCCTCTGTCTTTCTTCCTGTCCTCTATATACGAGATATATACTGCTCTTTGTCTATGTTTCTTTCTTTTCCCTCTTTCTTTTCTTCTGTTCTCTATATTTGTCCTTTTCTTCCATTTTGGTCCGTGGATATGTATGTTGTGTCTGTATTTCACTCTATTTTTACCATCTTCCTCGTTCTTTCCTTCTGTTCTTCATGTACATATACATATATATATACACGCACACACAGTATTACTTGTACCTTTTCTAGCATGATGGCAGAGGTTGTCTCTCTCCGTCGCGCAAATTAAATTCTCATCCACCGTGAAACAATGCCAGTATCCGAGCCGGAACAACCCCCTACTTCCAGTTCAGCTACCTCCCTCTCTTCAGTTCACCTGCACGGTTGGAAACGTTGCAACCCTCCACGATTGCAATCCCCTCTTCTCTATAGAGAAGACCCGGATGCCGTTGGTCAGCGGTTCGACAGATCGGACTCGAATCGACCGCATTAATTACTCGCTACTTACAATTAGTACAAACTAGAAACGGCCGCGTACGTTCTACTAATGGTCGTGGCGTTTGTTCTCCCTACTTAGCGGCACGTTCATTAGCTAATTGAATCGCGATCAAGAGAAGCGAGTCTTGCTGTAGGTTTTTTGTTGGCGGCAGAAATTATATCCGATGAGATTGAACAAGCGGAAGTTCTTGGATAAAAAGAATCGTTGTCTACCTTTTCAAATTGATCGATATAAGTTACGCTCGATAGGTTAGTTCCAAGATTTCCACGATTTTGCAAATATTTCTAATGTAAGCAATTTCGAACTTCTGAATAGAAGCACAAGATAAAAATATGGTAGAAATAAAATAAGGACCTGAAATAATTAAGACCTGTGTTTGACGATATCACTAAAAGTGCCCACAATTGATTTATACGGTCGTCATTATACGTATTCCAAATTTCAATTGAGATTTTGATCAAACATTTCTCAGTTTTCTCATTTATCGACTTTCTCTTGCGACTCTTAGCTTTTATAAATTTGTACGTCGCTACCTTGCACGAATGCAACAAATCGCGATTCGTTAACCATTTTGTTTATAATGAATTATCGCACTTTATATGAAACCAAAAACTCTTCTAATATTTATGAACTACAGTGTATGCGTATGCAAATACACTTCGTTACCTAACCAATAAGATTTCTAAAGAAATAATAATAATTTCTGCACAATGAAACCGTGATCGAGACCGCGATTGCATTCTAACAAAAAAATCAGGATAGAGATAGAAATAAGACAAGAGTACAAGGATAGGAGTCGAAAGGTATAGCAAGAGGTTGCAGAGGCAAAAGTGAAAGAGAGAGAGAGAGAGAGAGAGAGAGAAGGTGGATAGACGAAATGAGAGCACGATGTACTCATAATGGAAGCGCAGAGATTTAACAACGTTACAATGAACGAACAAGCTTACCCCGAGCCCGTCTCTGGACCCTCGGAAGCCTGCCGCCGCGCCGCCTCCAGAAGCCCGAGGATCGCAGATTGAATTGTAAAATAACCGAGAGGGGAACAATGCGCCTCGGTACAACATTGTGTTTGCATTTAAATAATCCGCGAGCCCGCGGGTACGCTTATCCTCGCGACTTCGTTCGCCGACTACTACCCTCCACTGCATACAACCATCCCTTATCTTGTATCGTGTCCATTTGTCTCACGTGCACTCTGCTTTTGCGTGCTTATTTTTCCGTGGAAACGGGAAACATTATTCCATACAGTTACAAACAAACGTATATATGATGGAAAGAGGTAAACAGAGGAGAAAGAGATTTTTCACTGGCTATGACATGGTACAAGAAAATAGTGAGATCGTATCCTCGTTGCTGTGTGGGAAACCTGTACGGAAGCGTGTACTTACGGCTCTGGGTCTATAACTGTTTAATTTGTGGCATGTAGGCTCCTTAGGCCAGTAGGGAATTAGAAAGGGAGCAATTAATATAGAAGAGATAATAAACGAAGTCGGAAAGTGCAGAGCTGTGGGTGAGGAAATTGGGAAAAAAGGAAAATGAAAGTGCAAATAAAGAGAGAGGATATGCAGTTAAGTAGGTAAATTAGGCAATTAGATAAACATTTATAACAGATAATAGGTATATATGGTTAATAGTCAGATAGATGATAGATAGTAAATACGTGATAGCAAAATAAGGATAAAATAAGGTCTTGTATGTAGATGATTAGAGAATAATGAATCAAAATCGTATTTATTGTATTTATAGAATACGTTTACGATGAACATAAAATAACTGAAATAGAATTCAAAAGCTCAAACATAGTGCTCAAATTAATGATAAAACAAAATCTCTTTCTCGAATATTCGCTGATTGCCTGTATATATAGTTTATGTAACAATCTATCTACTTTATTAGCCTATAATAATAGTATGTTACTGGTAAGTAGCATAAGTATACGATTTTATCGAATAAAGACGAAAAAGCTAGCAGTAATTAATAAGCTCGCAGACAAACGGCAGTTTCAAATTAAAAATTCGTAAAACGTAATCAGCAAACAAATATAAAATGTTTAAATCAGTCGACATAACCACTAGATTATTAATTATATATTTCAATTCAATATTAAATGCTTTTATTTTAACACGAGCACGAGACTGTTTTTGTCTTACATCAGGTTTCCTTTGCAATTCATTCGTTGGTATAAAAACATTTATATTAAGATTCAAAGAACAGCTCGCTACAATTGAAGGATTGACCCGTCGCAGCAGCGTAACAAATTGCGTCTCTTTTGTAGTCAGAAATATTTACGTTATCCTAAACGGGATGCATTTTAATTCCTCTTTACAGACGTCAAACGATGACTCGTTGCTTCGACAATCTCCCAAGAGGATTACGTAATTTAAACAAGTGCCGCCTGTTATATTCCGCGTACCTAATGAAAAATACGAGAATAATAGGAGAGAAAAGAACGAAGTTCAGATAACTGGACACTCACAAATTTTAGATATTTAAAAGTTGCCCCCTATAGTTTTTAAAGAGAATGAAACAACCAGCCCGTAATCTTTGCAACCATCTAACAACGGTTAAATATCTGTTAGAGGAAATTTGCCTCGACTTTTAGTGCATTATCTTTTATCCATAAAAATGCTATAAAGACGTTATATTAAATATATCCCTGATATCTGAAAATTATATAACTATATCTTGGTACGTAAAATTTGATAGATTTATCGTTTATTTTTAGAAGATTTATGACCCTAACAAGTAATTATCTTAGTTAAAGTTCAAAAGAATCATAAAAGGTGAACTTATTATGTTCTTTCCTGTATTTGCTGTTCGTATATAAATCGAACGAAAAGCATGATTGGTATGCACACGAGAAGATGGCGGACATATTTCTCGACGATGCAGATGGTTCGATGTCTCGACGAAAAAAGAAGCAATCGTTTACGAGTAGCCAAGCGAAAAATTACTGGAACACGGCGGAACTTTAGTAACTCGTGAAATTGCTCCCAGATGCTTGTAATATTGGCGAAACTTTTTCCCTGGGTCACCTGAGCCCCGAAGGCGTTCGACTAATATTAATTCGGACCCTCTAAAACAGGTTGTTGTTTTCAAGATCTTTCGCGAGTTAAATCCAAAGCGATGCACGGCTAATCTCTGGGCAAACAGTTTATGGTGTTTGCTTGACTATGCAACGTACTACGGGGAAACCAAGCCCCCTTTCTGCTGGATGTAAGCCCTCGATGTCCCGCGGGACCAGTTTACCCCCGACTCGTGAATCGGCTATCAATTTACTTAGAAACAGCCGTGAAGTGTCAGGCTACAGATTTTTATAACGCTTTGCGTATTCTTTGAGTTGGTTAGAACTGTTGTTAAAGGAAAACAAAAAGATCGAAATTTTACAATAACGCATAGTTGGTATCAATTTATTCAAAAACGGCCTTGAAAATATTCAACTGCAGATTTTTATAGTGCTTTGAGTATCCTTTGAGTTGAGTCTTATTTAACGATTACCAGTATTATATTTGATAAATAGTGTTTATACCGTGAATGAGATTTTGATTTTTCATATTTTGTGTTAATGATGTTTTTGATTTAGTTTGAAAGTATTGAATGTCAGAAGGTACAATCTTTTTACTTTCAATTTATAAAAAGTATCCAAAATATAATGAAAATAAAATAGTTTGAAATACAAATCATATTTAATCGCCATAGGTGTTGATATTAGTTTTGCCAACAGCATTTACATATTTTGAATAATTGCGAAAAAGGAGAAACTAAAACCCGACAGCTTTGGTTTGGTTAATCATTTCCACATTTCCAAACGTATGTATCTCACCTGTTTCTTATGACAATTTTAGTAAATCAATTTAATTAGACTTCTCTAAAAGTCATAGAAAAGGTACACGTTTTACCAAACTTTGGAAGAATTTGACTTAATTAGTTCTAAAGGAAATAGTCAAATATTCTTCACATTTGTGAAAAATATTTTTTTTGTGGGTTTTGTAGGAATTTAACTAAATTGATTTGCAAAAATCGTTATAGGAAGCACGCGAGGTTTGCGAATATAAAAATTATTAAATAAACCAAAGCTAACCGGTTTTAGTTTTTAGTTTTTAGTTTCCCGTTTTGTAATTTGAGAAAAATTTGATAATTTTCGTTAACTAATCGACTCACTCTGTCAAAACCGACAAATATCCACAAATCGTAACAAAACCGAGCCAAATACAAATCAACCCAACGAAACTCCATTCAAAACACGTGCATCTCACACTTGAGTTCTGTACAATCAACTCCTTCCACACTATCACCAATCTCCCATATATAAAATGCGGATATTCATGCAAATTTAAATTTTTATGAATTTAAAATAGACTTATTTCAGTTGTCAAATATCGTAACGAATATCCCAGTTTGGATTTTATACATTTTTGCATTCTATGTGCATTCTGTGCACTACTGAACTTTTAATTTTACAGTGGTCCGCGAATTTTCCTATTCCAATCGCACTCTTGTGTCAGTAACTAAAAGAATTTCTCATCATCAATATCAATCAACATCAATAATGATTCTATTATATTTTTTTGAAACCAGAGACATTCTTTTAATAATAAAAAGATCACGCAAGGAAAATAATAGAATTATATTTCTCATAAGCGTATGAAAATCTGCAGTCTATTAACATATACTTGTGTCCACTAAAAACTCAATCAATTAAAGAAATACCTGTTTAATCAAGCCTTCTAAATCTCCTCCTTCGTCGATCACTGATCCTGGGTCACGTATAATCCGGCCACGAAAATCCCGCAATCAAAAATCAACCCTCTTTTCCTATTTCTCTCTCTTCCAATTTGTCAAATCGTTGTATTTGGAAATGTCGCGTTCACACGAATCTACATAACAATTTCTAACTTACTGATATGTGTTTCTTCATAGTAACTAAATCTACTAATATGTTTCTGACCAGCTCGTCAAACCATAAGGGAATATAAGTTCCACGATAAAACGCAACGTCGCGGAAGATCGAAGAAGGCTTTAGGGATCACCACGAAAATTTCCTAGGTTCGTTCCTGTAATAATTCGATCTGTTGAAAATATTCCTCTTTTCACCTCGCTGAACCACGAAGAAACGGAGATCCCACGAAAAAGTGGAACGGACGCGGAAGATCAAGGAGCGCGTTAGGGATGACTACGAGCGACTGGCCGCGTCCAACGTTTCGCTACACTTTCCGAAACGTTCTCGTCGTCTCTTTCCTTCGCTGTAACTCGTTCCTTCGTCGCACGTAGGGAAAAGGGGAGAAAGATACAAGGGTTGGTTGAACGTAAAAGACAGAGATAGAAGAGGGTAGCGAAGAACCGCCCCCGAATGAGCTCGTCGCGTAACAACCAACCCCATAGCGACGATAACGGGGATGAAGGCGGAGCTTGGGGTAACTTGGCCGACGGGGGTGGCTGGCTCGCCTCAGGGGTAACTACAAACACGTACTTACCGAACATTATGATCATACTCGAACTCGAGCCACGCACACAGAAAGGACTCCTGAATGAGTGAGGGAGACACGATAAACGTGCACTCAAGGAGACGGTGTTTTCCAAAATGATAAATTCTTTTTAAAAATGATCAAACGAGATTTGTGTTGGAATGGTTTTTCTGATTTTTTGCAAGAGTTATAATTTTGAAAAAATTTGGTTTTGTGATTATTAAACTGCAAACGTTTATACATTTATGAGTAGCATTTAAAACGCAAAAATACGCAGTATATACATGTAGTATACGAAAGTGTGTATGTAAAATACCTAAAATACAGTGCTCGTTGTAATATCTAATATGTAAAGCAATTTTATACTTGGGTTACGGTTTTTTAACTAACTTCATAGAAGTATAAACTCGCATTAAACCGACTCACATTACTGGCCGCGGTAAGAAATTTAAAAGCAGAAAATATACAAAAATATGTGAAATATCTAAAATAAAATACTCGTTATAATATTCAATGCATGTCTATTAAAATATGGAATTATGTAAATATCCATGGTTTAATTGCGTAAAAGTCTATCTTCAAAAAATAAATACGAAAATCGTATTTCTCTTGCTGCTCTCAGATGCCCGTATACAGAGCACGAGCAACCTTTCACGCTTAGTCGGAGCAATCATAACGGAATATCATTTTTTAACCATCGACTATACCCAGTGTGTTCACCGTAACGTCACTGGTGACATTAATAAAATAATGCAGTCACGGATTTCAGGACACTCGAATGCACAGGGCTGGTTGAGAGAAACCAAGGGGGATGTGAAACTGAGACGCGACCTTATGTTCGTACATCGTCGCTCTCGTCTCTCTTTCTAGGCGTGTCGAGCGTGAAAGGACGCGTGTCAGAGCGAGAAAGAATAATATAATTGGCAGGGGTCCGCAACAATATTTATTACACGTAGGGGTAGGAAAAATTCTAATGACCAACTGGGGTATAAACTGCACCAGCCTCTTTGCGGTTCGTTAAACGATATTTCGTTAGAGGGATCACGCCAGTTACTCGCAAAGATGCGCACTGACCTTTTTTCTATTCTTTTCCGTGATTCTTGTTTTTCTTTTTATTCAGTTTTTAATACCTACTTATACAGTGGTTCGATAAAGTATTCGTAAACTTATCACGGAAAACTGTAATGTGTGCACTGTGCGTATTACGTGGAACATTTTGAAATTTCATTAGCATTATAACGAGACGCGACTGTCATGATTGCATTAGTAAAATTTGAAGCCAGTCTGAACATGTATATAGAAGTTGTATTAGGTGAAAAATTGATATGCGGTATAGATAGCATATAATAAATGCTAAAGATGGACTGGATACTGAGAGTTATTAATATTGGGGCTAATTGATCGTTTAAATGCTTTTATCACGTGTGCGAAAAATGTGTATACTTGCATTAAATAAGGTAAATGTTGGATAAGTGTAGGAAAATCGGGACACAAGCTGGGCATCTATGCAAACATTTTCTCATACTTTAGATATTTTATATATTTTTGCACAACACATTCGTTCTATGGATTTTCGCATTTTCATACAAATTCGTAATCTACCACTCTACAATCATAAATTTTCATTCTCTTAGGTCGCTAATAACCCGTGAAAACGATTCCTACGGTTTTAAATAATGGAAAAAGGAAAGTACAGTGGCAAATCAAACGTGTAGCTATAATTACGCACCAACAGTGCAGACCATAAACCACCATTAACGCTTTGTATCCTTAAAAACGTATCCGAGCAACAGCGAATTACTCACGACTACCACTTATCTTCGGTATCGCGATTGGTTTTTAACAGCATCCAGCCGGATTTGATCGGTATCGTGAAACCCTCTGAAAGCCTCGTGTCTCGTACAAATCAGCCGCACGTTTAGCTGGTACAAGAAGCTGGCTTTAATACCCGACACACAGCCTCATCAAAGCGATCCTTTCAGTACCGATAGGCCACCAAGGGCTACAGTTAACCGTTCCATCTTCTTTTGTCCGGGACCTAGTTTGTGGTAGACTAGCCTCTACACGTTTACCAGTAAGTATCTATGTTTCACAAAACAGAAGATTAATTCGGTATAATTTCATCGTCTGTGAAAGATATTTGTACCTATAATTGAGCGATTAACCCTCTTTTGACATTTTATGTTAAAATCTTGCTTTAGTTTCGAGATGAATATTGACAAAAATTTGAATATTTCACGATCTAAGGGTCGACGAAAGAAAAGTTTCGAAATTATAAAGTTTCTATATTTGAGCGTCCCAGAAGTCAAATTAATTGATCATTAATCGATATTAAAAATATTACAAATAAGCAAAAGGAAAAAGAAAGAGAAACGAATAAATATCAAGATTACAAAATCACCGTCTCTGCGTTAAAAAACAAAAGTCTGCATTTTTCTCCGATAAACTCTTCGAAAGTCTAAGATCTTTAAAAAGATGACTCTAAAAATATAGTAAAGCTACGTCATTCACAATTTTGTTCTCGTCTACTTGTATGTCGTACTTGCGATACGGCATTAGCATAACGAGTTTCGATTTCAAGATCGTTTGTTCGGAGGCGACGATGCGTGGCTAATTTCTGCACGAGGGTTGTACGACGTCACGAGACACGCAGGTTTCATAGTCAAAACGCCTTGTTACATATGGGAAACGTCGACGACTAGAGACACCATTTCAATCGTGTAACCGTGCAAGTATCGCTGCGGGCACGCTGGCATACTGCACAGTCAATTAGTTTAATAGTCCAACAGTTGTTACACGACTAGAGGAGGCAAGGGTGTCTCCCACGTCCACTGTCACGCCCCTGAAGAATCCTATTACCGCCAATTGATCGATTTATCCGCGAAATCCCTTGCATTCTCTTTGATTTCTTCACTTTCGCTTGTAATCAGAAACTAAGAACAATAGTTATTTTTTAAATTTTTTCGCAAAAAGTTATTGAACAAAAATTAATTTCTATTTAATTCCATTATCGATGGAAATGAAGAATTTTTCGACCGCCGATAGCCGTTACCCGTGGTTAAAGTAATTTCTGTCATTCATAACGGCTACCAGTAACAGACAAAATTTTAGCGATTTTTAAGTCATTCCTGACCAAAATCATTTGAATCAGGATGCCAATTCTGCAACTCTTGAAATTTGCCATATAACCGTTATAAATTATATATATATATATATATATATACACAATATATAAATAAAAATATATATTATATATAATATGAATATAATATAAAGTAAAAGTATAAATTATACAGGGTGGTTGGTAACTGGTGGTACAAGCGGAAAGGGGGTGATTCTACGCGAAAAAAGAAGTCGAAAATGTAGAATAAAAATTTAAAAAATTTTTTTTTAAATTTTTTTTTAAAATCTACAGTGAGATCCGTTATAATGAGACGTGATAAAGTGCACGCGTACTGAGCGAAAATTCAAAGTCGATTTTCTCGAAAACAAAGCCTCAAACGAAAAATTTTTATTCTATATTTTCGACTTCTTTTCTCGCCTAGAATCACCTCCTTTCCGCTTGTATGTAATTGTCTGACACAGTTCGATCTTTATTAATTATCATTTTGTTACCTTATTCTTAAAGATTTAAATATCCCTGATTAAGGTATATCTCCGCAAGATAAAAAATGCCTCTCGCATATTCATATATTTCCATCTTACAAATCGAAAAAGCCAAATCCAAGAAATCCACGAGGTCGAGAAAATAGAGAGGAATCTCTGCAACGTGGAACTAACGCGAAAGGTCTACAGCATACGATAGAATACGTCTTAACAGGAAGCGAGATTTTAATTAAAGGGGAGACAGCAGAGGTTCGTTGCGCGCAAAGCGTTATGCATAATGTTATTCGGCGTATCTACTGTAATAAGTGTAATCCGCGCACCCCCGATCCTCTCGACACTAATAGTCCACGGATAATACAGATTATAACCCCCTTCCGTTCCTTCCCAATGAAACTACCCTTCGAGCTTGAAAGCCAAACCTGCTTGTCTGAACTGAACGTGTTTGCTGCTCGAATAGCAATCTGAAACAATTCCGAAGCAATCGTATAAGGTATCATCGTGGTCAGCACTCTTCCTCCTCTGAAATCGATTCGCGATTATTCGTCTGTTTCCACGATCGCGAATTTCTCTCTCTTCCGTGGGCCAGATTGCATATAATGATTAGGGTTTACAAGATGATACTTTCTTTGTCTTATCTTTCTTTTTACATTTTTTGATAGATAGAAGTTCTTTATAAGTTCTGTTCTTTTTTTTATACTAATATTGATAGCGGTAAAAGTTTGTTATATCGTACAGAGTAGAGTACGGTTATTGGAGTCAAAAAGATGTCCAAGTTAAACTAATCCAAGAAATTGATAATTCTGGCGACTAATTAACTCGCCTTCCTGGATTCCAACTTCTTTAGTTGTGTTCATGAAAATATGAATGTGTACAAAGGTCGTTGCACATAATAGATATTTCAAATAATATCTATGTAAATCTGACTTAAATGGCACTAATAAATAATGTGAGTGTTAATATTTTGACTAATTTAAACTATTAGCAGTTTACTAATTATGGTTAGGTTGCGTATAATTGCGTAATTTCAAAATATCCAATTCGGAAAGGTGCGTAATAGGAGAACACAGGGAGGCAACCCTCGGTTAAGTGTTAACTGTGCCAACAAACCCTGTTCCTTTCGCAACCCCTTACAACGTGGCAAAATACACGATGACCCTTTCCACCCTATGAACACTCGAACCTCAAGAGAGCTCGCCACTCAAACGATCGTAAACAAACTTCTGATCTCGTTTTAAACGTTTTCCACGCGTGCGAATCAACCGTCGACTAGCGAATCACTGCAAACATTTCCTTCTTCTTAAAATATGAATTTTATATCCGTACAGCAGGTTTCTTCCTTTTCGGGCCTGTTAAAAAAGCTATTTATATAGAAAACCTGTTTCATTTCGATTAAAGAATATTAAAGAAAAAAGTATAGGATATGTATTAGGTTGTTCGAAAAGTATGTAATAAAATTTAAGGAAAAGTACACCAAAAAAAATATAAAATGGAGGTAATAATATTCTATAGAAGAGAAAAGAGAAGACTTCGCATTTAACATTAATATTTACTTTTAGTAATTTAAATTTTACTTATATTTCAATCTAAATTTTTTAAAACGTAGTATTGTATGAAACACGAAGAAAGCACAATAGAAAAACTAAAAATATCTTTTAAATTAATCACATATTTTCACATACAAGTACTTCAATGTCTCTTTCTAGAGAAAAAAGACTCATCGCTAATTTGGTATATTAAAAAAAAATCTCTGAGAAATTAGAGCTATTAGAAATGAACTTCTTTTATTTGTATCTATTATGATAATAATAGCTTTTTAAATTATTTATTAGTAGAAGATTTGTGAATTTGCGAGTAGAAACGAGTAATATCTTTGCAGTATGATAACAAAGAATTAAGTTACGTAGTTTAAACTGCGTGATACTGTGCTATTGATCTGATCTAATGCATACCAAATTTTGTAAAAAGTAATTTCATGTGAAGGCCATAGTGTGGTCATCACTGATATAACATCTCTACACGACAATTGACGTAAGTTCATTCATGTTCTCATTTAATCATTCATAACAATCATTAAGCTAAATATAATAATAGAGTACGTTAAAATTCATAATAATTTAATAAATACTGTAATTGCATTTGCTACGTGTACGTTTTATCATACCTGAAAATAATATAGGATAGAAGGAGAGTTTGGGAAAATAGTTAGCCGCAACTAGGCTAGGTATTTACTATTTCAAGGTTTTGTTCGTGGTTGCTCGTAAAGGCTATAATAGGTATCGTGTACAATAGAATATAACCATCGGTGGTAAATTATGTGGGGCACGTGTCCTGGCATAAGTATAAAGAGATTGAGCCAGGCTTTTGTTCGATCCGTTTTCGACGACGTCTCGAAAACGTGTCGAGTTGAGGCATGGACATAAACGTCTCAATAATGGCTTTATTATGCGCTCATTTATACACGTTTTCGGAGAAATATCAAATAAATATGCCTGTCAGGGGAATTTGTTATTTTCTTCTACAATACATATGTATTATAGGTTTCTTTGAATATTTTGTTAATGCTCTTTGGATTCTTTGAATTTGCTTAATATCTTTTTATTTTTTTTTATTTTTTTTTTAGTATGTGACATATATAAATTGATGTGTATTATTTGTCATTAGAATAATATTAATTTGTGGAATTAAAAAATTTTTATTTTTTTTGTCATAAATGCAAAAATTTATTTATAGAGTATTATATTAGATATGAAAATTGATAGAAATATTTAATATAAAAAAAATGTTTTTCTCTACGTTATATTGAAACAGATTTTGAAATATAAATTATACTTTACAAACGCTTCTCAGAAACATTCGTTTTATTAAAAATAAGATATGGTGTAATTTTCGATACACATAATATTTAGAAATTAAATATATGAAGCTCTTCGTTAACTTCTAATCAATATGACGCTGCAGAGTTTTTCTTTCATTGTCTCAAATTGATTGATATTGATGCGATGGCCTCCTGTCCTTTTTTTACAAAATTCTTTGTCATGAGATGATACATTTTCATGTTATGGAGTTACCTACCGTTTAAGACGAGAGCAACTAGCAATGATGTTGATAATTTGAATATGATACATATTTAATTTATTGCTGATACAAGATAATTTACCAATAGTTGTATATAATACTTCTGAATTTATCGACCGAAGGAAAAAATGCGTCTTATTGATTGAGTGTAGATAATTCAGATTTCGTTTGTGATCAGTCAATTTAAAAAAAATGATACGTAAATTAGTGCCACTGATTAAGAACAAAATAGGAGCGACATGTAATGCTCTTTCGCCCCCAACATTTTAGGGATTACCTGACTCTCTTACCGTTTTTATGTCAAATGCGACATTACCGATTTAGTGGTTTGAATTAAAACTAAAGTCTTGTATGGTATGCAACCCACGATATTCTTACAATATTACACGGCGTCCCACGACGAATTATCAGTTAATAGCTTAATTGTTATAAATTAATAGTATAGATGTTATAAATTGATTATTTAAACTTTATAAATTAATGGCTTAAGTGTTATAAATTATTAGCGTGAATATTATAAATTTATAATTAAATAGTTAAGTTGTGCTGTACAGTCAAAACATTGACTAATTTTGTTAATGGTGATACCTGTTTGGTCGGTAAGTACCAGAAGCTAGTTTATCGCATATTGGTAAATATCTATTGTATCTAACGGTAACTTAATGGTGACATTTGCATAATACATTTGTACTCACAAATTAAACACATCAATTACATTTATTTTATATTTTACAATTTAACGATATTTTAAATAAATTGAATTAAAAAAAAATTATTTTACATTCGTAGACTTTTATGCTTTATCGAGCTCAGTCGATAAGTACCATAAGATGTAAGTGATTTGTTCTTAGTACTTGGTCAAGAGATGTATCTACAATAATACACACTTAATTTCCTAATTATGAAGTTTGTTAAGAATGAACGCATTAGGGGTTAATAAAAGTACAAAATAAATGTTTTTAAAAATATTGTACATATTTTTTCTGTGTTCTCTTTACGCTGATTGCATATTTGACACAAAATTTGACAGTGTTTCTCGAATCAGGAACAGTATCATAACCACCTTTTACCGGCCGAATTAACAAGGTAAAGGAATAACAATTCCATCATTGCTAGAGGAATGTTTCTACACATTCTCATAACGATAACCTGAGAAATATGTTTTTCGAATTTTGAAACAAGTGTGTTATATCCATTTGTAGAAAGAAAGACCAATCAGAACTGTGCGTTCCTTGTAATTGTCTACATTACTACATTATCTTCGACATCTCTTCTTTGCCATCAATGAATACAGATCTGGTAAGATAAATCGGAAAAGGTCTAGATCGTTTATTGCAAGGTGGTAATGACTGTTTTGACAGCGGCTCGCTCTTCGACTATCATAAACCGTTCTGAACGATGCCTCTTCCAGCCCCATTGTCGTCGACACCGATTGGAATCAATATTTACACTCAAGCTCGTGTAAGCCATGGATTACCAGAGGCTCAACCGATCCTTCCAACCCTTTTTCGATTGAGTCAGCATAGTCAGCGACCGTTCACTGAGAAATTTTGCTTGAAAAGGGTCCCGTACACGCGTTCGTTGTTAAACAGTCTTTTTCGAAGCAACTCAAAACTGTGTGTTTCGGTCGAGGCCAGTTTAAGCGATATAAGTAGTCTTTTTCAAAAGTACTCAAAACGACCAAAGGCCACTCCTATGCTTTTGAACGATTTTTCACGCCTTTGAAAAAGGGTCCTCAATCCAGGAGTTAGGTTAGGTCCTCTCATGGTTGGGTATTTATACGGGGCGAGCATCGAACAATATGAAATTTCGTCGATCGTTATTGTAGCGTGTTCAACTGGATGACGATCGCGATGCATCGGTGCACGCGCGTGAAAGCTGCCCTATTCGAGCCATGGATAATTCGGAATTGGATTATCGCGGCCGATCTGGGAATCTACGCTCGTTCTTTAATCAAATAGGTGTAAGGTAGAGAGAATGACGCTGGTTTGTTTCTTTCGAGTGGGAAGATGGGAACAGAGATTTTTGGAGTTTGTATTTAAAGCTGTCTCGTGTTGAAATTTTAGCTGATATTTTTAATTGGCCACTAATACTTTATAATAGAAAATACTTTATAGTTGCTTCAATAGTTTATTACATAACAATAGATAAAAATCTAGATACAGTTACAAACAAATATCACATACTTTTAGCAGCCACGCGCAGATAATGGATGAGTAATTTCTTCTAAAAACTATATAAATCGTTTCTCACAAAACTTACTTTCTAACAAAATTTCCCGCGTTAAAACTTAAACGAAATATTCCTCGCCGCTGTAAACGCTTCGAAAATCACAAAGAATTTCTTTCGCAAGATGCAAATACAATTTGTACAAATACATAACCACTATACCTCACTGCCAAACCTCTAAAAACACTCTTAAAAAATACAATAGAAAATAAAGAAGCTTAAGAAAAGTTCTCATCTACCTTTGATCATATCAACCTCCACGCTATTACCATTCATCTGCATCGGCACATCCACGTTAATCGGCGCGCCAGTGAAACTTATCCTCGCTTTCGGCGCAAGTCCGGTGAACTCCGGAAGATTCTCCATTTCGTACATCTGCATGTGTTGAGCGAAAGAATCTGCGTGAAGTCGCGTCGCCATTATTCCGAATCCTTTCGGAATCAGAGATAAAACGTAACGATTATTTTTACAATTTTTACGAGAACATCATCGAATAAATGTCAATTTTCGTTTAAATGGAAAATAGCGGTTTAAGTGGCAGAATATCGGCTAAGCTACCGTAAAGATGATAGATAGATAGAAATGAAAATGAAATACTTTGTATTTCTTTCGAGCGGAGTGTTTCTTTCTCTACGGTATAAGTGTGATGTTCCCACTACGGTAATTTTCGACCGTTAATGGCTAATTTAGATTATAATGATTGCGATGCTTGCCTTCAACGAGAGCTAAGAAGATGCCACCAACGGTAGCGCTGCCTATCATCGATACAAATCCGGTTCTTGCGGCTAAAACGCCTCCAGTCAGCGCTCCGCTTAATATGGAATTCCACGGGTCTTCTTTACGACGACAGCGGATCAAGGTGCACTCGATAGCAGAGAAAAGGCCGCCCCAAACAGCAAAGTTGCCGGAGATTTGAGGAACACGGTTTTTTACTGTCGTTAGGCCGCCGTGGAGACGTCGTTGGAATCCCGATGGTGCGTTTCGGAAACCGATGGCGCTCTGCTTGAAGAGAAAAATGATTAGCTCTCAGTTGGTATACTGCATGCATCATTGGACAAAATTAAATGAACAAAAGTAACACATATATCCATTCTAGAAGCGACCGCGCTTTAAAGATTTTAAGGTTGCAGTTATTCTTTTAAATAGATTTATACAAGGTTTTGTATAGATTAATCGATGCGTGCTTTGATTCTTTAAACGAAAATAATAGTATACTTGTATCTAGAAATGTGTAGTTTATATTTTTAGAATTTCATCAAATGGAGCGAAAGACAAGGAAAATATAAACAAAAAAGCATTGCGTTATCCCTCCTCCTCTTTCGTGTTTGTAATGTTTTATAATTCCTCTTTTACCTTTTCTTTCTTTTCTTTTCTACTGTCCTTAAATATATTTTCATTCATTTTTACATTACATTTTCAAACTGGTTTTAAATTCTGCTAATAATCACGTCAGTAATGACTCATAATACTGTTAATGAAATTTCAGGATATATTATATACCACACGCATAATATACACACACAAGAATCCTGTGGTAAGCGTTCAAATAGTCAGTGAGCAACTGTATATGTATAAATGACTTACTTGAAAAAGTGTGCCACAAATGGCGCCCATGGTGAAGGCACCTCCGCAATCGTCCACTATTCTCCAGGGACACGGTTCACGATTATATTCCATGTTGTCAATTACTTACAAGTTGTCTTTGAGACAATAATGGTAAGCATAACCGATCAGTACTATTCTTAACAATATTTCTTCATAAATTTATCGCTCATGGTTTTACCTTGATTACGTCTGTAACGCTACGTATTATAAATCAAAGTCTATTCACAAGTCTTCTTATAATGGTTGTAAAAAGAGTATTAATATAATTGTAAAATATTTTTACAAGATTATCGTGAAGTTAGGCTACTATCGTAAATCACTTGAAACTATTAATGAATGTTATCGATTTCTACCGGCTATTAATTTGCATATACATATATATATATAATATTAATATAATAATAATGATAATAATAATATTATTATATTATATATTAATATTATATACATGTTAATGTAGAGTTGAAGATACGTAGACAGCATCAGGTCCTATATTTCATTTTCATAAAATCTTTCTTTGTTATATGAAAGTTCTACCAAACAATATGGAATTTAATATACTTCGACCTAATTAATTAGTACGTAAATGTTACAATAAATACAACGACGTGTCGACATCTTTTGTAGTCATCGTAAAACTTCCCATGATAAGCAGATGAAATTTGTTTTATCCATTAAACGTTATAACAAGCGTTACCTATACTTTGAATGTTTTATATAGTTTTGCATATTCTATGTATTCCTGCAACATTAAGTACAAATGCGTAAAAATCCGCTATCTGATAACAAGTGCCCAAATACTTTTATGAGCCATAATATTTTCACGTAACACTTGTTCGGTAGAACTTGGCTTTCTCAACGAAGGGGTTAAGTTTGGTAAAAGCTCAGCAGGGAACAAATAATACGTGAGCATCCTAAGTGAATAATAAACATCTCAGTGGGGTTAGACACTCGGGGTTGCGCGTTTAAGGTGGCCATATTGGTCTCTTAGCCTCCGGCCTCGGTTCTTATTTATCCGACTAGCGTTCATCGTGGCGACCCTTCTCGTACAAATGATTATTCGGCTATTATACGATGATTACCCAATGGTACGTGGGTGTAACACGAGAAATAAGTGTGCAGTTTCATGTCGCCACGGGGTCCAATGACAGACTGAATAAATCCATCGAGTGTTACCGCGTATTTAACGCCGCGAAACACATGTTCGTACATCTGTACGTATAAGTATTCTTTTCGGTGTCGCTTCCCTCCAGTTGCTTTCGTAAATAATTATTCTTGACTCGTAATATTGTCCTTAACTTATTAACGTAATTTGACTGGACTTTCTCTTTCAACGATAAAACGAGATATGTATGAGCTATAGTTAATATTGACCAACAATTAATTCGTTTTAATTTCGGTAAAGACCGAAGAAGATCATTTAAAATTATCTGAAGATACGTGAAAAAAGCATAGTACATATACATACAGTACATACGCAAAACTTATCTATTTGAAACACCCAATTAATTTAATCGTTTCACAATTCAAAATTTCGCTACAATTTCAAGTAGATATATAGAATAAGGATTGTCCGAAGAAGGAAAACGCAGTACATGTGCGCGTGCATGGCCAGGCTTTCCGCTACTCTTTTTCAAATTGAATCTCACGAGCCGACGTGGTTTATGGCATGCAAATTGGGTTCGACCTCCTCCTCTGCTACCCTTTCTGCCAAATCCTAATCCAATCCGCTTCTGCGTAAAGTCTACCTACCCTACACTTTTGTACGAAACACCAACCTGAAGAGCATAAGCACCTTACCACCAACCTTCACATGCCAACTGTTTCCACGAATTTTTCGTATTTTGACGTCATTTGTACCGCTGCTCTTCAATCATAACTTTGCATCGGAATGCTCGCATAGAAATGCATTTTCGAATTATTTCTATGTAATAAGATAAATTTATACAAATATTTCAATTCACTTACTTTCGTTTATTTTTCTTTTTCTTATCTTTTGCGAGAAAAACGTAAATATTACACGCATCCTGTTATCCGATCGCTATACATACTAGTACTATCTACTGTTCTTTTTATAAAAATTCCTAGTTCAGTTTCAATACTTTTCGTACAAAAGTATACAAATTCTTATGTGCAAACGAATATAAGAATATTCCATTTCACAACAGAAATGAAAAATCGCGAAACAACCAACGAATTCCGAAAAAGGATGAAGCTAACAATAAGAATCTATAAGGGATAACGAACAAAGGAATCTATATGACAATAAGGAATAATAATTTGCAGTAGACATCGGGATATCAAGATCGAGAGACATCGATATTATCGGACAGCTGTCGCGTGGCGTGGTGGTTGTCTCCGTGGCCGGAGTCGGCAACAAAGGGGATCCCCTGTTTTGTTAATCGTTCTCCATAATGGAAACTGAAAGGGGTCCTTGTGACGAGTCGCGACGTAACGTTAAATATGTACGTGTAAACGGTCGTATCGCGGGGTGCGGCCAAACCACGCATAGTATTCTTTGTAATGGAATATGAGATTGAAGTATTAGGTATAACATGAAGTATTAGCGATTAAATGACTGGTGGATTTGTGTGGACGAGCAACGAGGTTATCGATGAAGATATCGAGAATAATAGAAAACGCAAACTTTTTTTACTGAGACCTATATCAATCCTATAAATAGTATCGTTACATTATCGATGATTGTAATAATTTACGTTTGATTACTAAAATATAATTCTGTTCTGTGCTCTAGACTCTCCGTGATAAAGATCTTGACATAAGATTTAAAGGTTTTACCGTAAATATTAATATTGTGATATTAATTATAACATAACAGAGAGACGTTTAATTAAGGAATCGATGGGAAATCATGTGAAACAATAATTCGCTTCGTGATTTACGTGTGTGGAGACACGGCACCCCATTTCTAACTTAACCAACCGCTTAAGCACCTCGCACGAACGACAAAGGGGTTTCATCCCCGAAACTCCTGGACGTACTGATAGATTACACAAATGCTCTTTGCGGGAACAACATCGGGAGGGTTGCAACATCAACGGGATCCCATCGACAGCGGTTACCCTAAAATATTCATTCGAAACTTCGCTGACGTTGGCGACATTTGGACGTTAACCATGACGGTAGAGTGGCTTTGATCTTGTATTCCTGATTGTCGATCGGAAAGAACCGTGATTTTTTCAAATCCCTTGCATCGATCTTTTTGATAGCTAATCGTCCATCCTAGTATTTATGTCGACTGTAATAATATGTCGAGTTCTGTTATCAAACGCTGTTAGTAGAAATAATTCGTGTCTTGAGATTAATATTACTTCGAACAGGCTCTATTTCGAGAGTGACTGTCAATTGATATCGTTTATTTTTAACGACCTACATCTTTAAAAAACGATTGTTAATTAGCATTATTTTTAACAATGTTACGTGAAGCTCGTGGCGGGCCATGAAATTGTTATTTTCTACAGACTTTGGCTATGTACGTTGACACGGTTCACTAACTGAAGCCTCTGCTATGGTCCGTATTTAGAGAACCTAGGAAAACACTCGACTTGTTGCAACAGCCGTCCACAACCCTGTCTATGTTTCAGATCGTTCTGAATGCCATTGTGTTCTTGGGCCTGGTCCACTAATAATAACGTGTATCTACGCCGACGGTGTCATGATTCTTTCGAATAAGCAGCTCTTCGTTTCACAGAATCAGGGCTACGCACATTTTATTTGAAATGAAGATAATATGGAAGCTAAGTACAAAACTGTGTTGCTTAAGGTTCTAAGTCTATAAAGTAAATTTTTCTTTTTTATGAAACAAATTGCGTAATCAATATTATATCTATTAAATTTCTTCGAAATGAGCGTAAACTAAAAACGAATTCAAAAGAGAAACTTAATGATTCGCTGTAGCCTTTTTGTACGTATTTTGCAATAAATTACTATTGACAAACATTTCGACACAGTGAAAAGTAGTCGCTAAATGGTCGCTGGCTTTTTTTAAAATTAGTTGTGGATGGTTATGGGTTTCCTCTGCGGAGCAACAACCTCATGTAAAGATGAATGTGTCATGCTTGGAAATGAAAGCAAATTACCGTCGTCTTCAAATTGAAAATGATTGCTACTCTACAGATGAGTATTAGTTTCTTGCGGATAGTCTTGGAAATAATTTCGGGATAATTAGAAATTGCTAGGATTGCACGCTACTAGGAGAATTTTTTCAATTTAATAAGAGATTTTGTTGCGTGGTTATTTAGAATTAGTATGTGGAAGATATCGTACGATGGTTTTAACCATTTCTTAGATAACGCACGTTTTTATACAAACTTAAGCCTTCAAATATTACGCTTGTCGCTGTACTTGCAATATTCTATATAATTTCGCACCTTTTAGTTTTCCAGAAATGTATAAACATCCGCGAGCTAATCATATTAAATTTGCAAATAAGAAGGAACAAATTTTATTTATGTTATTAACGATCGATGAAGTTTTTTGGAACCCTTTTTACGCTTTGTTTCCGCTGATCCGAGAAACTTAAAATTTGAATCAGTTAAAATCCAAAAAGGGGGGCAAACCAACACCTCTGACCACGTTTAAATCAAAATTTTCGCGCGGGAGCGCGCCAGAGCCCAAGCGGAAGTCCTCGAGATCTCTCGAACCTTCTTGATTTCGTTGTCGATGATGTCCACTGAAACGTGACCGCTTGGCCGTGTAACAGGATTAGAGGAAGGGGAACAGATTAAATTTCGAGATATTTAGCCGGACCGCTGCACCCGTCTACTCTTTCTGTTAGTATGGCAATGTTCATCGGAGGGAATAGTAGGATTTTCGGCAATATTTTGGGTGTTTAGCCTTTGTCGCGGGACACTGACCATTGTCGCGTGAAACGATGGGCGTGGAGTTGCCGCGTGAAAAGAGGAACCGGCCACCTTCTTCTGTCCTTCCCCTCCATTCTCTTCGCCCGTGTCCCTTACGCGCCTCCTTTTCGAACCACAAAGGGCCTGTGGCCCGATACTTAATTTGCGCTGCACGCGTTCCGATGACTCTCGAATTTGCCATACTTTTGTGGCCTCTTCGAACGTTTGAGTTCTATGGCGTTGGGCTGATTGTCGAGGAAGCGGTCTTTGAATTGTAATGTTGGTATAGTACTATGTGCAGCCTGGTGAACTGTGGAAGCCATCAACACTTGTATCGTGCATTTTCACCTCTGACAGTGCTGTATTTGAGAAATAGTTTTCATATATAGAATACTTTCGAAACTTTATACATATTTATGTTTATCCGACGTTCGATTCAGAAAGTGGGATAATTTGAAAAACGCGTT